GTCACAAGCATGTATGAGCACAAATCACTGAGTTGTAAGCCACAGCAGTATCCAAAAAAATAACTGATGAATTGATCATTTGGAAAAATTGGAGACTGGAAGAAACAAACAAACGCCGTACATCGATCCCTGTTAGACCGTGCGTTGTGTAGTACGTTAGTGGTCGGATAAACTGGAACCGCCGTTTAGCAGAGCCAAACACCGAGAACGGTTCATCTGACAACCTCCTTATACGCTTGAAATCATTATCTCATCAGATAAAGTGATCTTTGTGAATGCTACCGGGAGTATCATCACTTCCCTCTAGGATGGTGAATAGTGATCTGTGATATGGGGAAAACTTGAACAAAGGTTATTTCGGCGAATGTGGTGGAGCTCTTGAGTTGCAAACTCATCAAACCTAAAAGACCAGTGAGCGTTTCTCACCGGTTAAAAACCGGCACCAGTGTTGAAGAGCTGTGATCTGAATACGCGAGGATCAGTATAGATGCTCGGAATGTCCGACTGTGACATCATTAAAACACATCACGATCCTATCGTATGAATTTATATAAAGGAAGATTACAATGTTGTTATGCTTGACAATAAAGTTCGGTATCTTTTCGTCAAAACCCTTTGAACAGATCGCTGTTCCATCGGTGAAATCCAGCTTTATCTTCCCAAGAGAGTGCTTAAAACTTTATCATAACCCCAGTTCCTCACAACAGCAATACACAGATTCCGTTTGTATGCAAACAAGACGGTCGCTTTGTATGATTTGGTCTGATTAGGATCAGTCGTGATCTGATCTATTGCTTTGATATTCAATTAATGGACTTCTCGGCTTGCCACTTAACGAGGGTAGTGTAGCAAAGAACGTTTTTGTCGTCCACATTTATTCTGCAATGAAACTCAGCTGTGACTACGAGCGTTTAGTTCTTCTGGTATACACATGGGTCAACTGACATACATCGGAGTAGTACACAAATTCTGATGAGACCAAAAGAACAACGTTCACAACAATTAGGTCATGTGACTGCGTCCTCGGGGAAACCGGGACCGGAGTAAGCGGTTAGATATTTTTTTGTGAAAGACTTGTTCCGGTGGTGTCGAGTTCTCACTGTTTTTTAACAACAGTGTACTTCGATTCTGTCTGTACCACTGATTGAAGCAGTTGGTGTTAGTGACTGATTGGCCGACAGTAAATGTTACCATATACGCACAGGACCTTATTACGAGATCGGCTTGCTTTAACCAATAAAATCAAGCAGTCTGCGTTGACCGACTCGTCGTTTGCAATTGGTCTCCGTAATTGTTTCCTAACGCGTTTGTTTCCACATGAACTCATGTGCCCACTCTGCATATTGCTTTCTCCGTACAAGCCACGTCATAAACCAAACCTTCCTCTCTGATTTCACCACTACCATACCGTGAAAGCACTTCTTCGGGTACATAGGATAGCTAAAGTTCAGCAACCGTTGCAGCCCATTATTGAGATGTTCCCCTATTCCCTGTCGGCCTGATAGAATGAGAAACATTTATGATGGAGTTCAGATGAACGGGTTACAGGTGTCGAAATGTATTCATTACCGTTCGAAACCTCGATGGATACAATTGTGCGCTTAAAATAGGCGGAAAACCCTCTTCACCTTATGCATTATCCCTTATCTTTTATACATAATGAGGTTGGAAGCAATCATTGAAGTTCAGTTCACTGAATTTCGCTATACGAAAATAATGCCACCGAGAAAAGATCTGATCCGCACAACAGCCAACTCACATGTAGTTTATGAATTCTCTTGTATCTGTGGCTGCAGACACGTCGATCGTGCGTTGCGGCATTTGGGAACACGATTCTAGGAGTACATACGAAAATGGCTACTGGGAAATGCAACTGGAAGTGCTCGAAGATCTATCACTAAACACATGAAGAAGACTGGCCACCGAGTGAATCCAACGGACGCATTCCGAGTTGTCTACCGTCCAATGCGACCATACCAGTTAGAGTTCGCGGACGCCATAACCATACGAAGAACGAACCCTGATTCTGTGCCCTCAGAAGCAAATGGTGGTCGCATTGGCTTTACCGTGGAGTTAATCCGCCCTGCCCCACCCTATCATTTACCCATCATCTCATCATTGTGACTTTCGTTCTCTCCTCTCCCTGCCACGTTCACTCAAACCATCCATCCACACACACACGAGTTCCACCTTCTCTATTTCACACCTTTATTTATATAATGAATTCCAACTTTTGTTCTTGATAATCATCAGTATTGTTTAATCGGCTGATGCAAAGGCATGTCCACGTGTCCTAACTTTACATCTCCGCCTTATATCTACTGAAATCTACACACACACACACACACAAACACACACAAACACACACATTAACACGTCATCCTCATTCATTTGCAAACCATTTGCATCAATGTATATTGGGATTAGGAGAAAAGGTGTTGAAAAACTAGTTACGCTGTTTTGTGAACAAGTTGTATGGTTCTCACCTTTGAATCTATTTGTCACCATACCCCATGAACGTATATAATGTCCATTTGTGTAATTCGCATGAAGTAACTGATGATATGCGAAATAAATGTCACTGCAGCAGACATCTCGCATAACACCACCGATCTTTTTGAGATACTAATACTAACAATAATAATGACAACGACGATGAAGATAAGCGAGTCTAATTTCCTGATCTGTTTGAAATCAGTGATTTCTTTCTCTACTTACTGCAGAAATGACTTCAATTCATCTCAGTGCAAAAAAAATAAGCCACTGGAAATTTCGGTTCTCATCTTCATGTTCGATTAACAAACAGAGAGAGAGGTATTGTGCCCACTGTAACAATTCGGGGATCGAATCTTATTTTTCCCCGGGATAGGAAAACGTACACATCTCCTGAAACTGGACATTACGAAACTAGTTCATTCGGTCTAGTGGATTACAGTTGTATACTATTATCGCAGGTAGTCAAGTCAAGGGAGCCCATTACCTCACCCCTAGTCGGAAAACGCTTTTTTTCAGGAAAAACTAAATGGATTCGTAAATTGCATCATGAATAATGCATTTGAAACATTTTTATTGTTTATATATGTATTGTGAATTTACTGACAGTGCAGTAATAGTAGTAGTTGTAGAAGTAGTAGTAGAAGTAGCAGTGGTAGTAGTAGTAGTAGTAATAGTAGTAGTAGTACGGATTAAAAAACTCTGTACAAATCAGTGCAGGATTGGCCTGTACAATAGGCAGCAGGCGGCTTGTGGTACAATCAGCATTGATATATGTCCATGTATTACACAACATATCATGCATTTTTGTGTATGAAATTTTGGATGGATGTTTGTGTATGTATGAGCGCGTGTATGGACGAACGAAGGAACTACATCTTCGTGACCGACACGAAACGGTGTAGGGGCAATATGGGTAGAAAATGAAGTAAAGATACTTGCACAGAGGCTGAGGTGGGACGGGACGGGACGGGGTGGGCTAGCTGGGCTGATTTCTGAGAAACGAAAGCAAATAGTGCGGGACTGGCTGGTTTCAAATCACGCCCAACACCTTTTTTACATACGCCCAAGGTGTTCAAAGATACATTGAGAACTGGACCAGGAATGAGGGTGAAGAAACGGAACCGGGGTGGGTATTCTCGTGATAGAGAGATCGCTCGTACGGGGGAAGAGCATTTGTGTGTAATTCTGTTGAAATCGAATTGTACTCGACCTGGTCAACGGGTCGTTGTGAACAACTATCGGATCTGCCACATGTAGAGTTGCATGATGATATACACAAAATTGAATTACAGACTATTCAAAAGTGAACAAAATGCACCATCATTGGGAAAAGTATTTGTACATAAATCGATCTCGACCATATAGCAACACTTTAATATCCCATTTGTCCATGTACCGGAGCGTGAGCGCGTGCAGAAATTGAATGTGGCGGGGTGATCATTTCTCATCTGGTGTGGACCACAAAATGGAATAGGGTCATGAAAAACAAAAACGTAGGAACGGGAAAGAAAGCAGACCATGACAACCTTCACGTAAGAACTGGAGGATGAGAAGGAAAAATCACAAATCGTTTTCCAAATCAGATATGATGGTCAGGCAGGCAAGCTGTGATCATTTCGCGGGCGTGGATTCAAAATTGACCTTGCTATTTTCAGAATTTTGGAGTGTTAGGTTCTCCTCTTTCGGCGAACGGAACAGGAGTGTGTCCATCGAAAACGAAACTAGAGGTATTGTGCCCACGAGTGTCCTGTTATTGTTGGGGGCATGCGCGCCATATACTGTGTAGCGTTCACTGTAGCGAAATAGTATGATGATGATGATGATGATAATAATAATAATAATAATAATAATAATTCGGCCACAGAGGCGCAATGCCGATGGAGGTTTACGTTAACGCAGATACACAAATGTGTTTGTGTGTGTGTGCCTCAATACGTTATTCGGTTGTTGCTCCAGTGGATACCTGGGAATTGTATAACANCCCCCCCCCCCCCTCCGTCTACATAAGATTCCCACAATTGGAAACCATGGAGCAAGTCAGCGTAGGTTGAATACGAACGGACGTTCGGGAGGGGGGAATATAAATCACATCTATAACAAACAATAAGAACCGGTTTACATAATGAAACGAGTGAAGAAGAACTATATGAAGGCTCATCGTAATACAAAAACCTCTTTTTCGTTGGTCAAATGTAGAATTGGTAGAGCAGCCGCATCGGATAAAGATCGACCTATGGTCTTTGTTCCTGAGCGCCTATTTGTAGAACTTGGAGGCTCACTGGATGGCTTACGATCAGACGACAAATTTGTGGTTTTACACAGTGGATAAATCATGGGCAGCGGATTGGGCATACTTTTGGCTCGTTCATCCGCATCCTCTTCATTATCATCATCATCATTATTATTGTTCTCATAAAGTTGTGTTCCCACCGGGTCGGAATTTTGTCTTGGCTGAATTAGCAGTCGATCGCGTCCGGGTTTGGTGGATGGTCCGTTCAATTCCGGAGTAAGTGAGCGATTCTGGCCTTCACAACAACGACAATGAGATCCCCCTTCCATACGTCGCAATCGACTGGTGGCGGTGCTCATTGCCTCGTCCCCGTGTGCATCTAGCAGTAATTCTGCCGAGCTAGATGAACACGAAGCACACGTTGCACGACCGGGCAAAGGTGAGGTTAGTACCGATCTGGATCGCTTCAGTGTGGACCAGGGACTCGCCTCGGATGAGGCACGCTTTCGCATACCCCATGCACAACCGGGCAGGTCTGTTCCGTTCTGGTTCCCGCTCATCTCGTCCGAATCTGGTCTGGATTCGTGCTCCGGGAAATTACGCTCTTCCGAGACAGACTTCAAATCAATTCCACTGTCCACTTCTCGTGCATCAAACGGCATTGTATGCGCGGTGCCCAAGGAGGAGTCCAAACTGTATGTGGATCCCGTGAAGAAACCGGAGGTAGTACCGGATACCGGTGTGACAGCTGAAGTAGCTGAGCCATCCTGATGGGCTGGTGATGGGGAACAGGAGTTAGATAAACCCCAATGGGAACAGTATTTTTCGCTGTGTGCGTTACAATTTGAACCGGTACCGGGTTCACAATTGTTCTGTTGGGATTGCGTCAGTAAACTTTGACCGTCAACCGGTTTCGGTGAGACGCGATCGGACGGATCCTCCAAAGATTGTTCATTACTGCTGGACTTAGCAAAGACCGCAGTTCCTCCATTGTTACCGTGGTCGTGAAAAATCGGGGAGAGAGCCAAATCTTTCCGAAGTGTTTTCCCGGAACGTTTGGACTGTATCGGTTGCGGATGATAACCGGTTTGGGTGGAACATTCCCCGTATTTGGTTTGATCGACCACTGATTGCGTATAGGCTCCATCCTGACCGTTCTGCGTAATAAACGAATGGGGATAGCCACATAATGAAATCAAAGTTAGTCAGTAAGTTACACTGAGAGTGAAGCGCAAAAATTCCGATGTCTTTCAAAAGTAGTTCATTTATCTTTACTTCCGTTTTATTGTAATCAATATATAGTGGTACTTGTTGAGATGACTCGCATAAAACTGTTTGCGAGGAGGTACAAAATAAATAAAAATGCTTGTGCTCTACGCGTAGCCATTTAAACATTCGAGGTCTAACTAAAATATCACTAGACATCAGATGCCTTATGGGATGCCTTATGATGATCGGATAGATATACCAACTAGTGTCATCATAGCTAAGAGAAAAACATAAGAAATGACATCAATTTTACCCATTCTACGGTGCAAACGTACCAACCGACAAACTAATTGATGCTATCGTCCCTCCCTCCCTGTCTACTTTCCATTTATTTGGATTGCCGGAATTCGTGGAATTTGAGATCAGGCAGCATTGTCAATTTTACGCATCAGAGGCTTCTCATGTTTTGTCACGTGACTAGCTTGTCAGAGAATTTGTAACAAGATCGAGTTAATTGAATCCCGCCTTTATCTATCTGTCTATCTGTCTGTCTATCTGTGTGTCTATCTGCCTGTGTGAATGTGTGAGTAGGTGATTCAAAGCAACGTGGTGGGTACAATGTCGGTCCAGAATCTTTTTCTGACAATTATGCACAAAACTATGGAACTAGGTATTTTTAAAAATGAGCTGAAGTGGACAGATTCAAGAGTAACCCGTTTTACCGAATGGTGTTTGCATGAACCTTCTCCCGTACACCATTGGAACGGGTGACCTGAAAAGACTGAAAACGTTATATAGAGCCGAACTTCCGCCAAAGTGCTAGTGGATTAACTTTGTGATCTTCACATTCCTACTTGTGCATGACGTTTTCAACCAAAAGGCCAACATCCAGGCCAATGACCGGGTTGATGAAACCGGGGGGGTGGGAGGAGGGGTTGGCAAAACGTCTGATTCCAAACAAACCACGAAGATTCATAGGAACCACACACACACACCAACGCTTTTGTGGTAGTGGTCACCGGCTCTATTGGGTATCAAGGTGTGTATTGGGCACCTTGGAAGTTTGACCCCGTCCAAAGCGTGTATGATTCGATGAACTGGACAACGATCCCAACATGGATCAGGCTTCGGCTAACCGAAGGTTCCGGTTGTAAATTCACCAAATAAATTCAACTTTCTTGGCCTTGACAACCTGGTAGTTAATATTCCGCCCACAGACAAATCATAAACCTGTTTTCTTTTTATAAAGATTATTGAACCCTGATTTGTTTGGCAAAAAGTCTGCATTCGGACTTATGTGAAATATATACATATATATATATCTATATTTATTCGAAAACGCTGAACACTATTAATTCGTACATATACTGCACATTATACTTTGTACTGATTGCATACCGTGTACCAGAACAATGCAATCGAATCGCAGAGCAGCAATACACTTTGTGTTCAGTTAAACCTCTCGCTCTCCCACCCCTGCCTCCCCCCTCCCGAGTGAGCATATCATATAGACTGAAGTAATCACTACTATCAGACAAACATATCCGTTTTGACAGGATTTGGGTGTGGGATCGGGACAACGGGGGTTGTGTAGTGGTTTTTTTGGTAATGAAACTGCTCACTTTTTCCAACAGTAAAATTTTCCTCGGTCTCGTGTCCTCTGTGAACGGTTCGCTGACGGAATGCTGCGAATTCTCATCCGGTTGAATTTCCTGGTTGATAGACAAGTTGTGGATCAGTTGCGCATCAGTCTGAATCTCCGCAGAATGTCGTGTCTTACGCTCCACAAATGGATGATCGTCTGTGCTCAGACCGACACTCTCCACAGTCTGTACCGAGACTTCGTGCTCACCAGTCCCGTTGTTACGTGGTTTGTTTTGTAAGAAACGTATTGGACTGGAAATCCCGCGTTGAGAGCCATGGTTTGGAGTCGTTGCCATGTCGGAAACATCTCGTCCAATGGAGGCTGGTGAGGATCCGGCTGAATCAAGACCATCGGGAAGAAGACCATTTGGAGTCGTAGGACTCAGTGTGCACACATCTCTAGCGTCCTGTCTCCAGTCGTATTGGGCAAGCCAATTCTTTTTCGGTTTGAATGAGTTATGCGCAGACGCGCTAGATGTGGATGAACCAGACGAAGCTGTGGCCAATACGATAGAGGATGAAGTCTGCATTGGACCATTCTCACCGGGGCTATGAACTGATCCAGCAGAATTGTCACGGATGGAAGAGATGGATTCACTGGACTGACCATCCCCCAGACCTGGATTAATTGGTGTCCGTGCGGTATAGGATGGGGATTCGATTGTGGAAGTATATATGGATCCCGTTTGTGGACTGGTATGATCTTGAGCACATTGACGCACCAAGCAAGGCATGTTAGAACGAACATTGTGCGATGTGATCGAGGATAGGTCGAACGAGGCCGAACAACCTGAGTTGATACTGGACGAGGTGGTAGTTCCTGTGCTTCGACCGAACACTGACATGGTATTCGGCGATCGTATCATGTTCCCACTAGAGTTGGCCTTATTCCCTTCGGATAGCAATACTTGTTTGCTTCGGTTGGATGCATTGAACGCGGCCAGGGATTTTTCGAAATGCTCCTCGACCGCCAGTTCGGTGGCCGATTTGCTAATTTTTGGTTGTTCCCGTCGAAAAGAACAACTGGCCGAGTCCCAACGATTCTCGTGTGTGGCCATTCCGACTGTGGGAGGTTCTGGGCCTACAATTAGACCCATGGAGCTTCTTCGATCCACGGTATGAGTGTCCGCCTGGAAAGTAATAATAATAATAATGATAATAATAATAATAATGGTTTATAATAATAATAGTAGTACAAGAAAAGAAGTATGATAAGATGTCGATTCACCTTTGTGTACTACTTAGATCAATTGCCTCCAAAACCCACAACTTTCGCGAATAAAATGATAATTAGAAGCTAGACGGAAAGATATTTGTCACGTTATGGCATTTTATCCACCATCCATACAAAACCTGTGAAGTACTCCAACCAGGCGCAAGCACATTCCCATCGTACGTAGACGATCAAAAATAAAATCTCACGGAAACTCAACTCATATTTTTGTTTTAGTTCAGTTCCCACTAAAAAATAAGAGTTCATTTGCAATTCAGTCGCATTTGACTAGCAGCTCCAGTGCGTTCTGTTCGATGCAAATGCGCAATATTACGTGGATGATTTTCTACCGTTTTCATTACATTAGAAAGGAAGTGTCAACATTCACATACGGACTTTTACAACTAACCACTTGAATATTTTCCATACTGACAGCAATGCAAATATATATATATATATATTATACATATGAAAATGTATTAGTATGAAATGTGGAAGGAAGTGTGTACGTGTGTGTGTGAGAGAGAGAGTTGACTCACGGAAACATCCACTTTGAGTTGTCTGAGAGCTTTGAAAAAATGTTCATCTGCGTCCGCAGTTTGCCGTATAATGACTTTCGAACTGCTCTCCGACTTGTTGTGCCTTTAGTAGCCACGGCAGAGAGGAATCCGGAGACGAGGGAAAGGGGTAACGGGAACGGACGGGAAATACGCATCAGAGATTCTGCATCGCGTGCGTGCAAAACAAAGTCATTCTCATTGCTCAGTCACAGAGTTCTCTGAATAGCGATAGTACTTTTCTGAAGTAAAAATAAATCACTGTAATGAAAAGTTCGGGCACGAAAATGTTTGAGACAAAATACCAAGATTACTTTGAAGATATATTGAGGATAAGGCAAGATTTTGAATGACTAGAGTGTAATGAGTTCCAGGGAATCACATGAAAAACTGATCTCTCTCTCTCCCGCACTAATCCGAACACTGATCTACTTACCGAATGGAACCTTTGAACGAATTCATATGTACAGTGGATAGTCTGATCATTCCATACCCCCAAAATGGCTTTTTAACGTGTATCACGTCGGAGGATTCATTGCGGAACTTTCGAACCATGGAGTGTGTGTGTGTGTGAACTTAATATAAACTAGTCACTATGAATTAGATTGTTATAGTGCTCTGTCCTCAGTCCCGAAAAATGTATTTGACCCAGATCATTTTGATTGGTCAAACGAAACTACACAGTCATCTTGTCATACCAACCGCAATCCAACCACTACCCAGCTGACTTCCCGATTGAATGGACCGAGTTGTGAGCCATCGACCTGCCTATCTGCCTGCCTACCTGATTACTACCTGTACAATGGGACATGGAGTATTTTACACAACTGTCACATTCCACGAGTGCTTGTTGTGTGATCGGTTCGGCATGGTTGTTCTTCCATTATCATTAGTAGCGTTNGGTACCTAGGCACTAGTAACTAGCCTTCGCTAAACACAGGTGTATTCTTAGATGCATACATGCATATACGCATACCTGCGGAATTCCATCCATCTATCCATCCAAACAAACCATATCATACCATAACTCAAAACAGTCGCCCTGGAGACCAAACAACAAACCCAGCAGCCAATCAGAGATAATCATCAGAACCCTGAAGTACGACTGGTTAATCAGGTCCCGTGCTTGCCGCACATTCCAAATCTTGACCATGAATAGTTTTAGTAAAATAGCTTGAGTCCGAATAGTTCCTGTGTACCGGATAGACCAAAGTGTTGTACATTCGCA